ACAAAAATATATATGCACAACCGCCGTCGGCAGGTGAAGAGGAGGTGAGAAACTTTTTGGATAAATTGGATTTACCAGCAATAGGCACAAAACAAAATGCGACACTGACTTCTCAAATTACAGTGGAAGAGATAACAAAGGCAATTGGCAGGACTAAAACAGGAAAATCACCAAGGTCAGATGGTCTATGGGCTTCTTTTTATAAAACCTTTAAAGAAGAACTAACACCAGTTATATGACTCGTTTAACTAAAGTCTCAGGACTGGCAAGATGCCTCCTTCTTGGAAGGAAGCTATTATTTCCATAATGCCAAAGGAAGGCAAAGACCAAGAATACTGCCACAACTACAGACCGATATCGGTCCTAAATGTAGACTATAAACTGTTTTCCTCCATCATAGCTAAAAGAATGGAAAATTTAATGCAGGATTTAATTGTTGAGGATCAAACTGGTTTTATTAAAGAAAGACAAACACAAGACAATATAAGGAGAACTCTAAATATCATAGATCATCTGCAAGGTAGAGGGGAGGGGGCAGTTCTGATAAGCATAGATGCAGAAAAATCCTTTGACAGTGTCAATTGTATAAGGTTTTAGAAAGATTTGGATTTAATGAGACATTTATAAGTTGTATTAAATCAATTTATCGGGAGCCAACTGCAAGGATTAAAATAAATGGCAATCTGTCAGGAAGATTTACTCTGGAGAGGAACGAGGCAGGGATGCTGCCTCTCACCGAGTCTCTTTGCATCGTTTATAGAGCCACTAGCTCAGGTGGTTAGACAGGAAGAGGAAATAAAAGGGGTGGAGATAGGAGGGGAAGAACATAAAATACGGCTGTTTGCAGATGACATTCTGATTTATCTGAAAAACCCAAATGACATTTTTTTTTAAAACAGTGAGTTTGCTTGAGGATTATGGGAAATTTTCTGTATACAAAATGAGTGTGTAAAAAACACAGATCCTAACAATAAATTACTCCCCACAGCAGAAAATAAGGGATACCTACAAACTTAAGTGGAATGAGAAACATATGAAATATTTGGGATTAAACATAACCAAAACAATTGACAAACTCTATGATGCAAATTATTTAGAAATAAACGACACTATCAAGAAGGACCTGGGGCGATGGATGGACATTGGCTTTGACCTCAGTTCTAGAGTGAAGATAATTAAAATAAATATTTTACCACGACTGCTACACCAGTTTCAGTCCCTGCCACTGACTACTCCACAAAAACACTTTGTAGAATGGGACAGATGGATTTCAAGGTTTATATGGAACAGGAAGAAACCCAGGGTCAGATATAAACCTCCCCAGAGGAGGTCTGGGTTTACCAGACCTAAGAGAATATTTCTGGGCCGCACAAATCTGGTATGTTGGTGCAATGAGTATGTTTCAAAATGGAAGAATCTGGAAATGGGTAGGAAAGACATAGAAGCTAGAAATTTAATGGCACATAAAAATNC